GTTGTAAGACGAGTACCGCCTTTCAATTTTGAAAAAATTACGATCCCTCTGTTTGGTTTGAATTTTTTGTATTTTTTGTTTTTCATTTTTACTGAATATTTTTAAAATTTAAAAAAAAAAAAATTAGATAGATGAGAGGAGGGGATTTGAACTTTAGACTTGTGTCAAATGAGTAAGACTTTTACCACTTAACTAGCACACAATATATGATAAATGTTTTATTTTATTTTTATTTATTTGAATTACACGCAACCGCTAGTTCCCTAAAATTTAAGGGGTTGATGGTTATTTTACTCCCATCAACTATTACCCTTTTTTTAACATGGGAATGACTTCTGTTCAGTCCTTAATCGGACTGGACCGTGCTGTTGGACTTGTGGAGGTTCACCACGGGTCCTGTTTTGATAATTTGAACCGTTCAATGTGTAAAACTCGTCGAATACTATATACTTACAAAAAATCACATTGATCGGATATCGATAGCTATGTGATCAAAACAGATTTTTGTCAACCGTTAATTTATTCACCGTTCATTTTTTTTATACAAAACTGATTTGATTACATAACTATCGATATCCGATTAACATGATTTTTTATAGACATATAGTACTCGACGAATTTTACATATTGAACGATTCAAATTATCAAAACAAAACCCGTGATAGACCTCTACAAACCCAACAACACAATCCAATCTGATTAAAGACAGGACTGCACGGAAGCCGGGCCCTTTTAACATTATCCCAAAAATTGATACATATCCTCAACTTCTCAAAATTTTCAAACCCTGTCTCGATTTTCAATCTAACCCTAATCCCCAAACACTGCTACCCTCCTACTTAATACGCGAGCTCTCTCTCTCTCTGTACATGTCGCGCTTGTCTCTCTTTTACGCACACACTCACTCACAGGTGCACCGAAGGCATTCGCCGAAGCTCTAGCGACTAGCATCTTCTTCCATAACTGTAGCCTCAGCATCTACTGCCGGAGCCGTAGCTCTGAGGTCATCTCTCTCTCTCTCTCTCTCTCTCTCTCTCTACATCTGTCGAATTCTCCGAAGTCATCATTATGCATGTTCTAGCTATTTCTTTCATGGTTCGAAATAGATTATATTTTTAATTTGAACTCATTTTGATTATCGTTCACAATTGATTATTTGAATTTTCTTCAAAATTAATTGATTGGAACCTGGTGGAATTCATTTTCCAGTATTTGGTTGTATAATAAAACCAAGGAAACGTTTTTGAGTGAACTATTTTAGCCCCAAAAGCGAATAACTGACTCATTAGTCTAGTTTACGGTAGCCATTTTTCGAACAAAAATTGACACTTCTTGAGTGGCTGGGAATGATAGGGTTTTCCAGTGTTTGGTTGTTTGATGAAATGCATTGAAGAGCTGTGTGCCTAATATCATTGCCAATTTTTGGTTTTGTTACATAGAAGATTTTATTGTTTGGGTTTAGGGATGGCAATGGGGACCAACCCGTACTTACGGATTTTCCCTGTTTACCTATAGGATCAGTTAGGTACCAACTTTAGAATCCCCGATCGGAGATGGTTATATAAAATCCCCGATCGGAGATGGTTATATAAAATCCCCGATCGGAGATGGTTATATAAAATCCCCGATCGGAGATGGTTATATAAAATCCCCGATCGGAGATGGTTATATAAAATCCCCGATCGGAGATGGTTATATAAAATCCCCGATCGGAGATGGTTATATAAAATCCCCGATCGGAGATGGTTATATAAAATCCCCGATCGGAGATGGTTATATAAAATCCCCGATCGGAGATGGTTATATAAAATCCCCGATCGGAGATGGTTATATAAAATCCCCGATCGGAGATGGTTATATAAAATCCCCGATCGGAGATGGTTATATAAAATCCCCGATCGGAGATGGTTATATAAAATCCCCGATCGGAGATGGTTATATAAAATCCCCGATCGGAGATGGTTATATAAAATCCCCGATCGGAGATGGTTATATAAAATCCCCGATCGGAGATGGTTATATAAAATCCCCGATCGGAGATGGTTATATAAAATCCCCGATCGGAGATGGTTATATAAAATCCCCGATCGGAGATGGTTATATAAAATCCCCGATCGGAGATGGTTATATAAAATCCCCGATCGGAGATGGTTATATAAAATCCCCGATCGGAGATGGTTATATAAAATCCCCGATCGGAGATGGTTATATAAAATCCCCGATCGGAGATGGTTATATAAAATCCCCGATCGGAGATGGTTATATAAAATCCCCGATCGGAGATGGTTATATAAAATCCCCGATCGGAGATGGTTATATAAAATCCCCGATCGGAGATGGTTATATAAAATCCCCGATCGGAGATGGTTATATAAAATCCCCGATCGGAGATGGTTATATAAAATCCCCGATCGGAGATGGTTATATGCTAGCAACCGATGCACAGGCAATGCGTGTGCAATTTTGTCATGTTTCACAAACAAACAATATTAAATTATAAATTATTGGTGTTAAAGTGATGGAGTTTGGTGGTGTAATACAATATTTTGTGTGAAGAAAATACATAATTTTTTTTTTTAAATTCCACATTTTAGTGCCTTTATGATATATATATATATATATATATAATCTTAAAAATAAAAATTATGAACATGCAAAAGCAAATTTACATCCAAATCCAAATATTTTTTAATATATTAATCTCAAAATACTAAAATTAACAAACCCCAAGGGGTTGGACTGGTAGCAATGCCTTAGGTCTTTGGGGTGTGCTCCTTCTAAGGTTTAGGGATCGAAACCTCTTAAGTGCTAACAATTCGTTGGGGCCATCGGATTGGGAGAAAATCCTTGAATTAACCGTGGTGTACTTGCAAGAAGCTCTTTATCAAGGGCCTGTACATGAATAAAAAGTTAGCCTTCACAACTCAACCACTATAACACACACTCCTTCACTAAAATTAGAGCAATTCATCAAATTTATAATTTTTACTCATAATTTTACTTAGAAACAAGAATGTGTGGTTGAGATTTGCTATATACATGAACCCTACAATATGCCAATTAAATCTCAATCATGCTTCTTAATTTTAAAAATAATTTAATTGACAAATTTTGAATAAATAAAATTTTCCTACATACGCACAAACACTACCCAATACCCACTTTTCAAGTTACCAAAGATTAACCCACTACATGGCCACCACCACACACACCACGAACGGCAGTCCCTAGCCACGCAAACCACCAAGACTTTTTAAAACATGATCAAACAGTGGCCGCTTGCCATCCTATAAGATTTACACATTCACACTAAAAATGGATAGAATAATAAAAGAAAGAAAATAAACATATTTACATACACTGTACTTGACTATTAGTAATTGGTAAAGAAAAATGCTATGAACCCCAAACATTTTACTAAATAAATTACCAAACACATACATGGGTGCCCATGTATGTGTTTGGTAATTTATTTAGTAAAATTTTTGGTAACTCTAGCATTACCCTGCAATTACATATAGTTAAAATGAATTAATTTGTAAAAGGGTGGAAATTATATTATTTTTGGAATAGAAATTTTGAAACAAAGAATAGTGTCAACACCAACTCTGTGTTTCCATATATATGTAAAGAAGATTAGGGTTACCTCATTTTTGTTTCATTTTCTCACAGCTAGAGTGGCCTCACTATCTCACTCAGGGCGGCGGGCCTCCCAGCGGTGACGCTCAAAGACCAAAGTGGTTCACTTGCCAGGTAAGTTTCTACTTCGTGTTTTCTTTCTCTAAATACGTATGTATCTGCATGTGTATATATTGATATACAATGTCTATATTTGTGTCTATATATTTTTTCAATATTTGTATATTTATGTTTATACAATTATAAAATCAAAACCACCTTCTATACTTTGCAAAAGAAGAAAAAATAATTGAAAGAATAACTTTCACAATGCACAGAAGGTGTTTGGCTAAATGTCTGAATGAGTTTATATTTGTTTCTCAGCACAACTTTGTTCCTAGTGGGCTGTTCTCCACATGGTTTTGTTGATTTTGGGTTGGCGGACTCACAGATGAACTCCTTGTAGCATTCAATCAATAGTTAAATTCATTATAGTTTGGTTTGTCATTGATTTCTTTAAAAGCATGATTAGTTCAACAGATTAATTAAGCTTCTTGCTTGATTGACCTTATTCTAAATCATGGGTTTATACATCAAATTGCATTTTTAGTTTGTTCATCATTGGCTTTTGCCAAAAAAAAAAAAAAAATGATAGTTTATATGAGAATTGCTGAGAATATTTACCAGTTAAAAAAAAAATGGGTCTGGGTTGGGGAAAACCGAACCAGTTAGGGGATGGGGAGTTCAAAAACCGCTCTGTTGCCCTCTTTTGCCATCTCTATTTGGGTTCATAAGGTTTGGCCATTTAAATGAAATCTTTGTGTTATTTTGATGCTGAGAGGTTACAAATTAATTTTCAGAAAATATTTTTGGCATTGCAAGTTTTCAGCCAAACGCCAGAAAATAATAATAGTGAATTTATTTTACACAAAATTTTTGGGATAATGTATTTTTTTTCGAAAATTGTTAGTAGACTGTATGTTTGACTTTTATATGGAAAACGCTATTTTTGTTGGGGAAAAAAATATTTTCTTATTTCTTCATTCCACTTTCTCATCATTTGTATGATTTGGACTCCATGGATTTCTTCGAAATAAACAGATCATTAATAGGTTGTATGTTTGACTTTTATACAACAATGATGTAATTTGTTAGGGAAAAAAATATAAATCCAATACCTGCAAAAGTCGATTCATGGGAACTGGCCGCTTGAGATCCCAAATAATCTCTGAAACAGCAGTTAACTGACTTGAAGTAAGAGAGTAAGGAAGAGCCTTCAAAAAATTCTTTGTAAGACTAGACCATTCCTCCATAAATACAGAATTCAATACAGGCTTCCTATACTTATCCAACAATACATCTTTCTCTATCTGTGTACCAAGACCTTCAAGCATTTGAAACAAACGGCCCAACTGACAAAAGAGGATAATAGCGATAGTCAGGGGTTGCATGCAATCAATGCACAAAAAAGGCAAGATGGACAAGCACCAGCATCAACAAAGTGACGACGAGATATTTTTTTGATAAATAATAAATTTTATAGAGAAAGCATAAAGATGATACCAAATGGGGACAACCTTGGCAATTCGTTCAACGAGTGCAACATAGGGGTGTCTTTGATGTACCAGAGGTAGGTGATGGAGAATCATTACATGAACCAGAAGAAAACGATGTGTTCCAACAAGAAAATATTACCGATGTTGTTCCAATTGACATCGGCCCTAATGTTCAATGTTATAGAGATGGTGTTGAAGCAGAAGTTGTTACAAGGGTTAGGTCATCTGATGAAACAATGATAGAGAATAGAGCTGACAAACAAAATGAAGAGTTGACGAGCCTGATGTGGATTACGATATGGATCTTGATGTAGACTAGGATTTGTAGTTATTTTGCACTTTCTATATGAACATTGTTCTTAATTAATGTAGTTGAATTTCAGTTGTGGGGTTCATCCACTGTTATGTAGGTTTATCATTGATTGGTCATATTGTGTGTCTGATGGCTTTGTAATTAATTTGTTCTATGATAAGTAAATGGTAAAAACAAAAATCATCCATATCACTCTAGCCATATTTCAATGATTTAGAGCCTATATGACATATCCACTTGTTGAGATTGTTGTTGCTTTATGCTTTATGTATGGAAATATATAATTATCTTTTCTTTACATCTAATGTTCAATTATGCGTATCCACCAAAAAAATGTTCAATTATGCTTTATAGTTTGGCAAAATGGACGCTACAAAAAAGCAATTGACCAAACCAAGTACCGCAACTAAGAAGGTAACGAACTATGAGAAACAAAGAATGAAGAATATTAATAAAAACCGTGAGAGAATGAATGCTCTAGGAGTGAAGAATATAACAACTTGTTTGAAGGCTACGATTCAACATAAGAAATTGAGGAAGGAAAAACAAATACCAATTGAGGAAAATGACGATGATTATCGACCGTCAGAGGCTGAAGATGGCAGTGACACTGAATCCTATGATTCGTTTGAGCATGAGGTACTATACATTTATGCATTGTGAAATATATTCTTTCTTGTTACTTTCAATTCATACACACATAGACATGTATATCTTTGTACATATATTCATATTTTATTATATTATTCAGCTGTTAGAGATACCATCGAGAGCCCGTTCACAATCTCATCATGAGGCATTGACCCACGCATTAGAAGAAGGGGATACCTCTTCACGTCCTGAGGTGACTAGCAATCCGCCACCGCCTCTTAATGTGGAGCCTCAACTTGAGGTGACTGCTGGTAATACTATTGGTAAGACAGGTGGCTAGCCATCCGCCACCACCTCTCAATGTAGAGCCTCAACTTGAGGTGACTGCTGGTAATACTATTGGTAAGACACACTCTTTATTTACATTGATTTGAGATCTTAATTAAATTTGTTCACATACTATTTCAATAGTATGGCTTCACAATACCAGCTGCTAAGCGTGTTCGTGGCCCGACTCGAGGCAAAGAGGCTCAAGGCCTTGTTGATAAAGGTGGAAAGCTTAGCGTGCCTATCCCTCCAGAATTTCGTGCACTGGTAGGGGACTAGGCCTCAAAACTAGCCTCAAAGATTGGTGTAGAAGTGCGAACTCGTTTACCAAATCCAAGTGTTCATAGGTGGAAGTATGTTGATGCCTCCGTTAAGGAGGCGATGTTTCAACACTTGAATGTAAGTTCGTTGTCTACTTATAGGAAATTTTACTCATTTTTATAATAGGTTAGAAATCTTAATTATTTATTGTAATTATTTTATTTTTTATAAGAATTATCTATGACTTATCTATTTTTTGCAGGATCAATTTGATTTACAAGGAGACCCTGTTGATATAGAGAAGGCAATGAACACAAAATTTGGTCGGAGATTGAGTAACCATACCTATAGGCTGCACAAACAATTCATGGAGCTGAAGGAGGCTAAATGGGAGGAGTATGCAAGAAACCACCCACCAAAGAATGTCGATCCTACCAAGTGGATAGATCGTATTGATAAAAAGTGGAACACTAAAGAATTTCTGGTAACATTTTCATCTTTTTTATTATATTAGCGAAGAAAGAATTTGATTAGAATAGGGAGAGATTATAAAACAACTAGAAAGAACACAATCAATTTGCTGTGAAATTCCATATGTATTCGTTTCCCTTTATCTTCTAGGCATGTAAGTGAAACATAATAAAAACCAAATAAGTGGAAAAATGAGAAAGGGAAACTATTAAACCTGGATTGGAAGGCTCGCATAATAGGAGATTAATTTATGGTTTGTTAAAGTGCATCTTTCACATCATAGAATAAAGAACTAAGATTTCAGTTTCTATGATTGTATTAATTTTCTGTTTGTTCTTGGGTTTGGTCTGAAGTTTCATGATAATGGTAAGCAACTAACTAAGTAACTAATATAGGGTATTGAGACAGAACTTTAGATTTGATAAAGTTGCGGAAGAAAGAAAGGGTTATGAGTTTGGTATCAGTAATTGTTCCACATCTTGTGAAATGTAAATGGATTTTTTCACAATCTATCTTGCCCATGCTTATATGCCCCCTATTTGTGAACGGTGTAAATTACTCGTTTTTTTTTTCGCCCAGAAAAACCATCTTATGATGAAATCTCAACAAGTCCTCTAATCTATTTTTCACAGAATTGAATGAAACTAGTGAATAATTTGAAATATCTTTTAAGTTGAAATGATATATAGGAAAATGATAGAGAGGAACAATGCAATTTCTTTATTATCAACCATTAAATTTGTTTTACTAGTGATACATTTCATTGTTATATTGGTTCATTATTCCTTACAGGAACAATCAAAAGCCAACATATTTGTCTTACTAATGATACATTTCATTGTTATATTGGTCATTCTTCCTTATAAGAACAATCAAAGGCCAACATCGCGAACAGAGAAAGGATGTATACAAAACATAGGTGTGGTTCTAGGTCAATCCCTGCTAGAGTAGAAAAACTGGTACGTATCCTTGCACTTTCAGAATTATATTAGATTCTTAGCTTTATTTATTGAATATTTGGTCTATCGAATTAGGCACGAGAAAAGAAGATGCTACCTGATCTAGCAGAGTTGTACAAGGAAACTCACTATAATGAGAAAACACATGAGTGGATCTCATCTCAAGCTCAGTGTAATTATGTGAGTATATATTGCAATTTTTATTAACAAAATTTTAGAATACTATTTGTTATAATCTTATTTAATTTTCTAATAATTATTTAATTTTTTTTATATTTGATAGGAAAATATGATACAGACACAGGCTGATCACCTCTCACAGCCAGGATCAACCCCTTTGACTACAGAAGAGCTATCAATCAAAGTCCTAAAGCCAAGGTCTGGCTATGTGAAGGGACTTGGCATGAGACCTATTAGGATGAAATTATTTGTGATGATGAATGGATATTTTCATTTTGTTAATTCGTAAATGTGTTGATAACAGGTTAGGTTAAGTTGTGATGGAATTGTTATATTCAACAGGTTTCAACATGAACAGGGTTATATTTGTTGAACTAAAATTTAGATTTTGATAAAATAGGTATATAATATGGAAAAAAATATTATGAAATTATTGACAAAATTTTCCATCCCTAAAGAAGGTTCTTTTGTCTCTTATTTCGCTTAGGTGGATGATTAATTTTGTCATGAATTTTTTATTTCGACACTAAATGCATTTGTCGTGACAAAAAATATTGTCACATTTTGTCACTATTATTCTCAATGTGTGACGAATTTTTTTTGACATTATTTTATCACTTTTAATGATGAATTTGTTTTTGTCTCTATTGGTAGCTTCTTTGACAAAAAAATTTCGTCTTCGTTTATATTAAACGTGACAAAATTATTTTGTCTCCATTTCTTATATTTATGACAAAATAACTGTGTTTCTAATTTCTTCTTTAATGACAAAATATATTGTCGCTAATTACTTACAAGTATGTTCCCAACAGAGTGTATTTGAGACAAAAAAATTGGTCACAAATTTATCATTTTTAATGATGAATTTATTTTTATCTCTATTGGTAGCTTCTTTGACAAAAAAATTTCGTCTTCGTTTATATTAAGCGTGACGAAATTATTTCGTCTCTATTTCTTATATTTATGACGAAATACTTTTGTCTCTAATTTCTTCCTTTAATGACAAAATATTTTGTCGCTAATTACTTACAAGTATATTCCCAACAGAGCATATTGGAGACAAAAAAATTCGTCACAAATTTATCATTTTCAATGACGAAATTGATTTTTCGTCTCTACGACCCTTTAGCGACGAGGCTTTGGCGACAAAACAGGTGACGAAAAATTTTCGTCGTAATTAGTTTGGGTGACGAAATATATATATTTTGGGACAAATTTGTTTCGTCTTTAAATCCCAAATTTGTTGTAGTGTTTATTTTTATTCAACTTCCATTTTTATTCAATTTACTTATCTATTAAACTTGCTTTTTTATTTAATTTCCAAACAGATCCTTAAGGTATAGTGGTTTCTGGAATGAACAACCATTTTTAATTTTCTGCAACTTCCATTTTTATTTTTATTTAACTTACTTTTTTATTCAGGTTTCTTTTCTACTCAACTTCCTTTTTTATTTAATTTCCAAATAGATCGTTAAGGTATAGTGGTTTTTGGAATGAACTTCCATTTTCAATTTTATGCAACTTTCATTTTTATTTTTATTCAACTTCCAATTTTATTCAATTTACTTTTCTATTAAACTACCTTTTTTACTTAATTTCCAAATAGATCGTTAAGGTATAGTGGTTTCTGGATTCAACTTCCATTGTTAATTTTATGCAACTTTCATTTTTACTTTTATTCTACTTCCATTTTAATTCAATTTTACTTTCCTATTAAACTTACTTTTTTATTTAATTTACAAGTAGATCGTTAAGGTATAGTGGTTTCTAGATAGAACTTCCATTTTTATTTTTGTGCAACTTTCATTTTTATTTTTATTCTACTACCATGAGTGACAAAAAATGTTCGTCGTAATTAGTTTGGGTGACGAAATATATACATTTTGGAACAAATTTGTTTCGTCTTTAAATCCCAAATTTGTTGTAGTGGTAACATATCAGGCTCAAGGTTCAGCACCATTATCCGCACTTGGTCCTTCTCAGAAGGTCAATCTGTCATTTGTGCTGCCTTTGCTCTCCATCTTGCAACAAATTCCACAAAAGGTTCTTTAGGATTCTGGTGGGTGGCTTCAAGCTCTTGGGTGGTCATTTCAATTTAGGTATTGTAAAAATACTGATTGACAAATGTCTCAGCCAAATCTTCCCAGTTCTGCTTTACTTTATCCTCTAACTTGGCGTACCAAGTGGCTGCTATACCTGATAGGATTCTTCCATACAGAGAGAGTTTTTGAGGTTTAGTCAGACCCATCAGTTTCTGGACATCCAAGAAAAGCCGGATATGTACCATAGGATCTCCAGACCTGTCAAAACAGCCAATGTGTGGCATTTTGAATCTGTTTGGGAGCCTTACAGTAGCCTCGGTGTACCCATCCTCAATGTCGAGAATGGAGTTAATTCCCTGTGCCTTTTTGAATTGTTTCTCAAGGTTAGCAATTTTTAACAAGGTCGGGTCGAGATCATTAATATCAAGGGAAAAAGGCCCCTCATTAGGCTGTACCATGGGTTTGAAAACTCAAGCTTGAGCCAACCCTTTTCGAGGATTTGGGCCTTGCAAATCTTCAACTGGCGGAGGTTGGTTAAAGTTCGGCTGGGGGCCCGGGACTGGATGTGTGGTAGATGCCCTAGATGGGCATTGTATTTCAACAATGGTCTCATCTTGCATGGCAATTCCCTGGCTTAGTGTTGTTATCATGGCCATAACTTCTTCTAGACTCTGAGCCATCATGGGTCTACTGAGTTGGCAATTGGGGAAATGGATAGGTGTAAGCTGAGAGCTGACTAACAAGGATTTCAACCCGGTTATACTTGACATATCTGAACTAGATTAGTCTAGACGGGTTTGACTGGATTGGGCTTTTTTAGAATGGGTCTTTTGGCATTGGATGGATCTTTTCTAAGTTGGCCTTTGGGGATCAGATAGACTAGACCTTTGCTAAGTGGTTTTTTTTTTTTTCCCTGGGATTGGATAGACTGGGCCTTTGCTGAGTTGAGTATGGCTCCTTCTTTGGCTCAGTCAAACCTAGCATTAAAAACAAATGCTCCATCAGATTGGGATACCGGGTATGCTGGTCAAAACAAAGTAAGACATAATTTTTGGCCCTGGTTCTGGTTATGATATTTTTCCACCATATCAAACACAAACCCTTGGATTTTAACCCAAATTTTGATTCTAATATGACCCTCAAGGTTGAAAGGAATTGCCTCAAGATTAAGACTCTCCTAGGATTGCATCACATATTTCCAAAGATTTCACATTTTGCACAAAAAGGCATTCAAAACACCCTTACGAGAGGTTAGGGTTTCACTGTCCTAGCTTTGGGGTGATCTACAACTTTACTATTTCAACAAGCGGTATCACAACATCCTGAAAAGTGGTAGAGCATCATGCCCTAGTTTGAAAGGTTACTAGAGCATACTATATGCACTAGGCCAATTGGTCCAAAAGGGTACCTTAGCAAGATTACCTAATATACCTCTCACACCTAATACCGAGAAGTAAAAGCAGGATCAAGCGGTACAACGATAATCCGAATCCAACGGTTGTGTTACCAACATGGTAGAGCCCACGACCAGCTAGCCTTTTGGCAAGCTTTTTAGGCAAACCTCCGGCAAGCCATCTAGGAATAACAAATGGAAAACACAGTAACTTAAGAGAACCAATGCAAATGCAATGCAAAGGACATGTATATGTAGATAAAAGTTCACATCATGAAGTTCAAGTCAAGTTCTATAAATCCCCAGTGGAGTCGCCCGAAACTATAGCTTGCTTTTCGTGCCCTTTTCGGATACGATTAGCTCTACAGTTCGGACTCCCACGGTTTTGAATTTGGTTTCACAAGTGCAATGTGAGATGGATAAACAAAAAAGAGTTCAAATGCGGCAACCCATTTTAGAAAATCAAGTTTGAATCAAAAGATGCCAAAAAATGGATTGCGTTGTAGATTTCAAAGTCGCCACCTATATATTTTTGGAAAATTTAGGAAACCCATGACTTGTGCCAAAGGCCATTACTCTGTTATCACCAAAGTGTCTCGGCTCGAGAACTTAGGTATGAGAGGGGAAGGTCATTAATTGAGCACTTCACTCACCCAATCAAAGATCGGCATTTACTAATCATGATGTGATTTGTATTCACATTATATGCTCTTGTTCCGGTTATTAGGCTAATTTTACTAAGTGATGCACACAAGTATAGACCAAGTCACAAAATTTGGAATGCATTGATTTTATGTTTGTTTTGGAAAAATGTTTTGAATACATGTCATTTGAAAAAGCGAGCTCGTATTTACATTTAATCAATTTATTCCAACTTAAGTAAAAATGCCTTCATCCGAGGCATTCAAACATGAATATCATTTAAGCATTTAGCCTTATGGAAAGCATGCTTAATACGGAAACACAAATATACAATGAAGTATGCTAAAGCAAGAAATGCTCACCTAGTACTCTAAGGCAAGCTACATTAAAGTAAAATAATTAGAAGAAATGCATGCTCTTAAGAAATGTAATATGACAAATGCAATGCACGCATTATGTAAATAACAAGTTCAGCTACTAGCATGGCATTTGATTCAATTCAAAACATGGGATAAATCACGTATTCAAATAAAGAATTTGAAATTGACTTTGGTTAGAATGATGAGCCGAACCTTTATGCGTGTAAAACGAATCTATGCAAGTCATGGAAAATGCTAAGTAAATATGATGCTACCATTAGAAGCAGGTAAATAAAAGGGAGAAAGAAATGAGGGTTGGAAGATAAATACAGCTATTACATATTTTCCCTCACGCAAGAGGGTCTGAATTAAAACTAGCTATTACAACACCGAATGAATACTAAACAAACTAACTATCTAATTTATTACAACAAGACATTATGACAATAATAATTATAATAATATAATAAACAATAATAATAATTACAACAATACCATGAAAAGTAATTACAACATTATTATGAACAACAATTACAATAATAATAATAAAACAAAAGAAGACGCACAAGGATCATATACGCGTCAATGAAGGCCGTTTGCAGAAACTGCTTTGTCTGCCCTCTATGCACTTGCTTTGTTTCACCCTTAGCCACTGCCCCATGTTTCTACCAAAAGTGATCTATTTACCAAACATTGGAGCCGGGCCGACCCCCAATGAGGCTCGGCCGAGTCTAAACAAGGCCGGCTGTGCCCTATTTTCATGCAAAAAAAATATTTTTGTGCTCTGAGGTGAAAATAGTGTAGATAGAGCCTTTCTAAGCCCTGTTTGTCCGTTCTTCTCTTCCTTGTCATAAGAAAATTCAAGAGAAAAACGGATTCGATTCCAAAACTATCAATGGTAACAAGTTGATTGCTTGATGATTTCGAGCACGTTTGGACAAAAGTTAATAAATGCAATGAAAGGCAACCACCCCTCCCTCCTATCATGTAGTTACCTCAAAGAAGTAGGTAGACACGCCTCAAAATTCATCAAAATATCATGAATTAATATATGATGATTCTT